TCTGATAGATAAAATGTTTTTGCAAATTTGAAACAAGACAATTTTTGAAAAAAAAAAAAAAAAAAAAAAACTTCAAGAAATACATAGTGTAGATACAGAAGAATGCTCCTATTCAAGCAGGCTATTAATAAAAAAAATAAATAGTACCCAAATATTTTCAATTTACATTAAATCAAAATTTAAAAATAAAATTAAACTATCTTTCATTTATCTACACTGACCAATATTTTAAAATTGTCACTCCCTGAAATGTATTTATTATAAAAATTAACAGGAACTTCTTTACTAAAATGAGGCATTATTCTGCATTAATCTATTTGAACTAGTATCATCTTGGTTGTTATAGTCATTTCTATCTGAATTTCAGAAATGAGGAATTATTATTGAGCTAGACCCATAGACATTCCACAGAAGTTGACAACTAAAATTATCCATTATCTCATGCCTCTACTCTTCTCATCCTTATCAATCTTCATTGCATACACAGTTCAATACGTGAAAAATGAATGTACACACATTTTCTATGATTATTGTTTTTTTTTTTATCCCTTGTTCTATCTTCCCATAGAGAATTTCAATATCCAATAATTTTTACATTTCTTTCTGTCTTACAATTTTTCCCTTATCCTTTTTTTGATATCTAGTCAGAAGCCTCTCTCTCTCATATATATATATATATATATATATATATATATATATATATAAAAAAAATAGGAAAGAACTAGTTAGGTAAATAATCCAAAGTTCTTTAGTATTTTTTGTTATTATTTTTAAAAAATAGTGCTTTCGATACAAAAGTAGAGCATAAATAATTATATAAAGTGTAACCCAGATATAAGAGAGTTGTCGGGACTGGAGAAGAAGTCTCTTATATCTGGGTTTGGTCTATTTTATATACATTAACACAGGCTCTAATTTGGGACCAGAGAAAATCTCTTATATCCGGGTTACATACATATATATATATATATATATATATATATATATATGTGTGTGTGTGTATATATATATATATATGTGTGTGTGTGTGTGTGTGTGTGTGTGTGTGTGTATATATATATAAGGTTCACCTTTACAAGGCACGAGGGGCCACTCAGGTTTGGAGGCCATTTGTGTGTATAGGAATAGAAGGTAACAGTTAACCCTAGCCTTGAACAGGTTAAGATTGTAGTGATCAGGAAACACTGTTGAAAGGCAGTGGTTCACAGGAAGAAGTTGCTTGTGTGGAACTTACTTCTCACCAATGGAATATGGAGAAAATGTGGGTGGTTTACTATTATCTAAGTGGCACGGCATGTTTTTGCCATGAAGGTTTGACTTGGTAGGACCAGGGAATGTTGTTTGTCTGACCAATTTCTGTGCAAGTAGTGGTAGAGCAGTAAGAAGCTTCCCACATCCTGCCTATGGGAGAGAGGTTGAAGGATGGAGAATAATTTGTCACCCACAAAGGCTTGGAGACACTTTTGGAATATCAAGGCTGAACTCTGGACAGCTCCCACCCAAATGACAACAGTACTCCAATTTTTGGTCTGATCTGGCTCTTGTAAAGGTAGAAGATAACAGGAGTTAGGTACTTACTGGAGCGGTACAGAGAGCCAACTATTTTATCTGCATCCTTAGCAATGGATCATATGTAAGAGTTCCACTTGAGATCAGGTGTGAGTTTGAGGCCCAACAGTTTTTCAAAGGCATAGTGCTTCCCTAAGAGGACCTCTGTTCATTCTGATTTGTGATAGTTCAGGGTCAGATTGACATTGATGGAATGTAACTAGCTTGGTCTTTGTGGCATTGAATGCATGTAACTAGCCAGTTTTACCCCATTGGGTAGTTTGTGTAAGATCGAAAGAGAGATCAGTTGCCAATCACTGATAATCAAGCGTTTTAGAGTCGTATCATCAGCATAGATGTTTACAAATGATCTTATATTCTTAGGTAGATCATTTATGTAGATCAAAAAGAGGGTTGGTTCAAGGAGTAATCCTGAGAGCTCTGCAATGACCGCTAGGGCACCAGAGGACTGGCCATTAATAACTACAGATAGGGACTTAACTGTTAAAAAGGATTATACAATGTAGAAGAGCCTTCCAATGATACAATAACTGGAGATCTTGTGTAATAAACCTTTGTGCCACACCTTGTTGAAGGCCTTTGAGATATTTAATACTATGGTCCTCAAAGTGAGCGATATTATATACATACATACAATTTTTTTTCTCTTTTCCTCTAGTTTTATCTCCTACTTTTATACCCTCTTTCCCAACTTCTCTTCTCCCTTTCTTTCCCCAAATCCTTCTACATTTAATACTATATAGGGTCCTTGATCAGAAACATAACTGATTATGGATTAGAAGCATTGGGAACATGGCTGGTTATAGTAATCCTAAGTTGTAAAGTGTAATAGCCATATATACATGTAAACAATATTAGTAATAATGCTTCAACAACCTTGTAGATAAATGCTTAGGTCATGTTAGTATAAATTTCTTTACTTATCAAAGAAAGGATTGCTCTCATATATATATATATATATATATAAAATAGAATCACCATTACAAATTGCTGTGAATGAGTTGGTCTGATCAATGTTGCCTTTTACTGAATTACACTACTGAGAAGAAGAAGAAGAAAAAAAATAAAAAATAAAGGAGACACTTGTTTCCTTCATCCATTATGAATTGTTATCAGAATATGCACCGTCAACCATTATTAAAGTCTGACTAATATTTCATCACAGTTTCATTTAAACTGTTAGTCTATGGCAGTGAATAAACAATGTGAATCAGGAATTAAGAATAGTCACCAGGCAAGGCTTGAACCCATATCAGTTCTCTTGAGAAGCCGGCCGATACATGACAGCTGATCTAATGATTGTGCTACCAGAGCATTTACAGTTGGCAAAAGATCAAATCTTACTCTAAAACCTATTTACCCCACCCAAAGCTCTGAGAGCTCTCTTGGTAGAACAGCTGCCAAACATCGGTAGGCTCCCCAAGATAAAAAGGATACAAGTCTTGCCTAGAGATTGTTCTTTATTTTCAATCTTTGCTGTTTACTAGACTTCTGTAGATTGATGGTTTGAATAAGATGCTATGAAATGCAACTAACATTAAAATGAAATATCAACCAAAAATCTAATAAAGGTTGACAATGCATCATCTAACAAAAATTCAATATTATTCTTGATAACCATAGAATGTCGTTTTGAATAATTATGATAAAAAAAAAAAAAACAAAAAAAAAAAAACAACTAAAATATGATAAAAGACAAACATTAATCAGAAACATGCTTAATACTGAAAAGTTATTCTATTTGATGGCATAAAAGATATCCCCTCCTCCTTAAAAGAAAGAGACCAAAAATATCTGAGTTATGTTTAACTACACTGATAGATTATCAGTGCCCCCACCTTACCTAACTGCATAATGCTACAATAATAAATTTATTTTTGTGGTGGGAGAGGGTCTTGTCTGCTACTTTTTATTCTTTTTAATTTCTTTAAACAGGTATCCTCATCTTAGGTTGTTATGGTTACAACATTTTGGTTATTTTGCCCTCTGTCTCCCCCGCCCCGCCGAGAACATACCATAGTCAGAAACTTGATGTACTTATTAAAGGATATCTCATATTAGTTAATTCTTCTTAATTTGTCTTTGTTACAAAACCTTTTAGCTAAAAAAATATCTACACAAAGCACATATCCTTAATTTCCCTGATTCCATCTAAAGTGAGAAGCCAATTATATGAAAACACATACACTATATATATATATATATATATATATATATATATATATATATATAGACGGGCAGACAGAGAGAGGGAGAAACCACGAGCAAATGGAGAGGAATATTTCATATTATATAACAGCCATAAAAACTCTACATTCAGCTCAAAAATAGCTGAAATTGTAACCCCCAGTTGTTGTCACTTATCTTGTGAAATTAATGCTGTCTGCTCTAAGTTCAGGATAGATTTTAGAGCAAGATCTAACAGGATGATCAAATATCTGGGGTTCAGTTCCATATTCAAGAGCCATTTTATAAAGGAATTAACTTGTGATGCTCCAAAAAATATGCCAATGTGCAGGACGATCTATTAAGGAGTTGAAGAGAAATATTTTGTTTTTACAATGTAAAAATTTACTTGGGCATTAGATTTTCTACACAACTGAGCAAAAAAAAAAAAAAAAAAAACTAAAAAAATATAGCTACAGTTAAATAAAATGTAAGAGAACAAAAATGAATTAATCTCTCAAACAAAAAAAAGTTTATTTCAGTATTTTGTATTTACCCAATTCAATTTCTCCAACTTCAAAAGAGCAAACCCAACCAAACATTATCTATTTTTTTTCAGCTGTAAAAATGGAAGTAGTGACATTAACCTATTGTTACTTAGAGTACATTTTATTATTGGTTGAGGAATTATATCGATAACAATCACTGGTGATTGGTAAAGGGAGTGGACTTTTATTGATCACTCAATAACAGTGCAGGATAAAATATATGAATGACCAACTAGTACAAAATAAGACTGGCAGATATTTTTGCAAGTAGTGATTCACTCTAAATAATGCTAACAATGAAAATAAGTGGGTAAAAATAATAACAATGGTAAGGTTTCTGGAGGGAAAATTTTTAGGATAAAAATTATGAAGATTGGAATCAAAATAGTTTTAATATTTGATAATGATCATTAATAACCATATTGTATTTATATAAATTAATTTTACAATTATTAATATCAAATAATACTAATTACAATGAAAGTTAATGGGTTATTAATGCTGAAATCTAAATATTTTGTACACAATTTTATTTTTGAGATAATGGTCTTCGTGATACGAGTTTTAGTAATTTACCATGGCTGGGGAGAAAAGATGTAGATTCATACATTTCCCATAGATATTTGCATGAATCTAACAAACTCAACAGGAATTGGAACTTGGCTCTCCAATTAACAATTCCGAGCCAGTGACCATTACACCACACACACATCCAAGCTTACAACACCTGGTATTCCCAAGTTGTCACCTATCTAGGTACTGACCAGGATTATCATTGCTTAACTTCAGTGATCATTTGGGAACCAGTGTTTTAATGTGATGTGACCATAAGTTGAAAAGGCATAGGCAAGCTATGTTATGGCAGTGGGAAAGTGACTGAAGCTGAGATGCCAGGTCAGGACCAATAACATTGCAGATTTTTCTTGGGATTTTATAAAAAAATCTCAATACATCGCAGAAGCACCAAACCAGATGTGGTAGCAATGCATAGACGAATGATAGATTTATAAATGTGTAAGATTCTGGCAAGAAAAATTGTATGAAACAATGAACCAAATTTCTTAGCAAAACTAGCAAAATGCATTAATTGTTGAAGTTAAAACCTAACTGTTGTGAGCTCAAAACCTGGGTTGTGTAGTGTGGAAAAGTCATACTTTAATTCAGTAATGGGAATGAATGAACGCCACAAATATATAGCCTAGGGTGAAAGAGATTAACTAGGAGATATCCCCTGAAAATGGAAAGCAGATTGAGAACAATCTAATCCCATGAATTGAATAATGAGTTTGGTTCAAAGTTTCAAGAAGGAAACCAAGTAGACATCTGACGAAAGTAGAAAAATGCAACAGGCGAGATGCCGTGAGTATAACTAAAAAATGAGAATAGAAAGGTGTGTAATAATGATAATTCCTCATCTGAAAAATTCTGACAAATCAAGGCTGATAATGTTGATAGTTTTTTTTTAACTCTAGGCTCATATCACAGTACTGATAATGCTGGGAATAAAAACAATACACTAATGCACTTAAAGTAAGACACTGATATAAGGATTATTATTAATTACTGGTAATGTCAAACTTAAAAATAGTATTATTCTCAGAGGGGGATAAAATCCATAAAAAGCACTCAGATATAACACAACGTTATCATATAACTACACAATACATTTTTTTTTTTACATTTTCTGATAGTAACAAGTAAAATATAATAAAAACAACAATAGTATATTTATTAAAAAGCGACAAGCTTATTAATTTTATTTCTGTCCCGAAATAATCTAAGTAATTTTAAATTATAAATTAATAAAAACTAAAACGCCAATGGAAATTTTTACCAGCCAAGTCGCCGTCGTTACTACCGCCGAGAAACACATTATTGTCTATTTCCGTACATTCCAGCTAAAATAGATTTTGGGGGAAACCTGTTTTCTTTTGCCTGTTTCTATCGAGAAATAGCAGATCTAAAATTACGTGTCACACACACACACACATTAGAACTTTTGACAGCATTTTTAAAAATTGTTTTGGTAAGAAACAGCTATAGAAAGATCTTGACAGACGAATTTGACGAAAACTGAAAAAAATCTGCCAGCCAGACACACACGCACTTTTACACTACTAAACTAATTTTATAACAGTGTCATCTGTGTTATAATAAAAAGGTCGATAATATTAAGCATGGTGAAAGACTGTTTGGTCAGGTGACAATGTTGTCATTGGAAAAAAAGTTTCGTAATAATGCTCATAAAGTCATTTTCAGTGAATTCACTTTAAAGTGATGTTTTTCCCACCATTATCTTTGAAAAATAATAAAAATCTTTAAATAGATTTCATTTTCAAAATATGAATCGAGATAAAAAAAATTAAAGAGTGGCTTTTTTAAAAATAGAATCAACAGGCGGTGTTTATTTTTTTCAGTCAAAGTGTGTAGACTGTGTATTGTAGTTAAGTTATTTGTATTTTTTTCTTGATTGTCTGTCATAATGACGGGTGAGGGAGACAAACCTAACACTAACAAGTCACTAACAGTAACTAGTGTTTTTTGCCGATTCTTGCAACTTTCAAATTACTTCAAAGACAAGAAGGTGAACATTATTATTATTTAGCGGAAAGAAATTATTTTAATTATTAATTAATGTCGATTTCATTTACTTTCTCAAGCAATGACCTGGATTCTATATTGAAATCAGTCGAGAGTGGCTTTCCGATTTTCCCTTGCCATTCATTCATTACAAAGTTAATCAAAGCAAGACAGCCAAACGACCACACACGCATTTATTTGTCCAAACGACATAAGGCATTTTAATCATGCTATGAAATTTTAAATTAATTGTATTTTACGTCGGAGTGACAGTATTGTTGCTTTTTTTTTTTTTTTAAATAAAAAAAATGTTAATAATGATCAAGTACTTAATTAACAATTAAATTAACTAACTGCAATTAGGTTTTTAAAAATCACTCTTCAGTTTCCTTGTTTGGTTTTTTAAAACAATCGGGTTTTAAGTACTTTTAAAGTTACTATTTCAATAAAAAAGCAACAAGAAATTCAATAATTAAACAAAGAGGAAAAAACTAAACAAAGTACGGAGGGTGAAATTAAAATATACTCACTGAAAACTTCGATCTTGTCCTAAGATATATATTTTTTAATACGCCAATCGGTGTCTAAAAATAGCAAGTACTTGTTTGTTGGAAGTAAAACAATTACATAAATTGAAAGAACTTGTCCAACCAAACAATTTTTTACATTTTCTCTCGTTTTGACGAGAGCAGAGAATTACGAAAATCCGGAGTTGTTAGTTAACCCCACAAAATATCTTCAAATTAAGCAAAATCGCTAGGATTTGAACTTGACGTAATTTGTAACTAAAACTAAAAACATATTTCGTCAAGTCAATGTTATGTCTCTTAGCGCCCACATCTGCCGCCTCCACCTTCTTGGAGTCTGATGACTTGGTTGGAATAATTACTGCAAGAAGCCAACATTATGAGGATTTAATTTGATTATAAAAGCGGAGAGAGAAAGAAGAAAATATTGTCTTTTTCAAAATTAACTAGGTGCATATAATGTTGCTTAGTTTAAATTTAAGGGTGAAAGAAATCATCGCTTGTTCAAAAAAGATGTCTTTTGAAGATGATCCCACCCCACCCAAGAAACTATTAAGCATTTTCGATTCATACATTTTTATATCTAGGTGGGGAAGTCTGGAAAATACACACATAGTTAACAAACATTATTAACGACAATCATCATTATTAATATTTAAAGTGGGGATGGAAGGAACAATTTTCCTAATATTTTTCGAAGAAAGCTTCAACATTTTTTTTTTTTTACTGAATATATATATATATATATATATATATATATATATATATATATTTTTCCCTACCCCGCCAGCTTTTTAAGATCCGGAAAAAATGCAGTCCAAATCCTTAACTAAACTAAAACAGTTCAAAAGTAGGCTATTAAATTGAGGGAACTGTGAAATTTAAGAGTTTCGTGTGGTGTGGTTGGTTGGTTGAGAGACAAAATATTTCCTACCCTGCTGCGTGGACAACATCATCCCCCCACCCTTTTATCGATACTTATTTACGGTCATCAACAAAAATAAAATGATAACGAATTTCATTTTAACATTTTTTATTTAATGTATATTTTCTTTTTTACTAGTACTAGTTTATTCTTTCTGATTGGTTGCAATAAAAGTTAATTCCACCAATGTAAGCATTTTAGAACGGTAAATTCCTAGTTTACTCACGCGAGAAATAACTATCTTTTAATTAAAATTACCGATTTTACCTTTTTCTTTTTGCATTTCACTTCCAGATACTTGTAGCGAAATTAAAATCCATATTAAAAAATTTCCCCAAATGAAACATGGTAAGTATTTGTAATTTGTTTGTTTCTTTTTTTTTTCTTTTAATCTTTTTCCTTAATTTTTTTTGGTTTGGGTAAAAATAAAATAAAAACTTTTTAAACTGAATTCTCCACAGCGTAGAAAAAAGGGTATTTGATAGAGAAAAAAAAAAAAAAAAAAGATTTTATTTTGAAATTTCAGAATTAAATAAAATTTGAATAAACAACCCTCAACCTAGTCGGTGTTCGTAGCAAAATAGTAATTTTATATATTAATTAAATAATTTTGTTTTTGTTAAATACATAAACTAAACAGCTGTTATAATATATTTGGTATTTACGGACGTTTAAAATCTACGCTGTGAAGCATACGATTTTTGGAACATCCCCACATGCAAAATAAAATTATAAAAAATAAATTCAGTAATTTCAATTTAAATTAGATTATTAGCGTTAGTCGTATGAATAAAAACAATTAAGATTTTTCACTTAAAAATTTATTTCAAATCTTATTTTATTCAAGAGGTTTTTTGTTTTGTTCATTTATTTTTATTTTTATTTAGTGCCACATTTTCACATCTCTGCTTCCCTCCTCCTACGCAATGAAACCATAATTTCATAATTAAAATTAGAGATTTTTAAATCTAGAAAGTGAAACTATCCAAAAATATTTTGGGTTTTCTTGTACTGGTTCCCCTTCTCCTCCGCCCTCATTCAAAAATTATCATCTTCAAAAATAGATACGAAAAAGCAGTTTTCTGAGCCAACAATACACACGACGGAGTTAAAACGAGGTGGGGTGGGGGTGGGGAGAGAGAGAGAGAGAGAAGCAGCAAACGCGAGAGAGCAAGTGATTTATTTTTGTTGTAGAACGCTCGACGAAAAGGCATCTTTAACTCTCTTGGTGGTTGGTTAGCAGAAAGGCACCGCCACTGAGAAGGAAGATTCTTTAATCTTTACTCTTCTTAGCTTCTTCTATCTCGTTATATATAGAACTCAATACAGACACTGACATATCGACAAAAAAAAAACAAAAACAAAAAAAAAAACTAAGGATTCAACAAGAAAATACGATCAAGCCAGAAGCGGGAATTATTTTTCACTTTGAGTAAAAAAAAACATTGTTTATAACTAAGAAATCAAAAATATTTTTAGCTAAAAAGTGAAAGTAAAATTTAAATACAACTGTTTTTCATTCCTATCTCTCGGCTTCATTAGGTTAGCGAGAAGAAAATTAGATTATTATATTTGTATGGCTTATCTTTGTTCTCTACCGAGAATTAGTTTTGTTTTCTGTATGCGTGTACAACACGCACTGTCACAGTGTGTGTACATGCGTGTGAACCAAGTCTACAAATACAATGATTGTATTTTTAGACTTTTTAAAAAATAGATTTGGTTTGTATTTGCTGTGTCAAAATTACTTTTTTTTTTTAGTATATGAGCTATTATCTAAGATTGCAGATTTTTTT